CCTTGAAAGGACTTTGTTCGTGTTTCAGAGAGAAGTAGCCCAGGCCCAGAGGTACATTTGGTAAGAGAAGTGGGACTTGATCCCAGGGCTAAATGATGGTACCCTTTCCCCTATCCCGCTGATCTCAGCGTGAGTGTTTGCAGAACACTTGGGATGTCCTGCCTGGGTCTGGGCGAGCCATGGTGGATGGGGGCAGGGTAGAGGGGTGCCTGCTTTGCTTTCTAAAAACTCAGGATCTATTTGAGGAGGCCAGACTTATGCATGCAGAACATTTGGGAAATGGTACAAGACAGCAGCTAGCATAGTGCTGAATTGCACATAATCAGGTGCCAACCACATTCCCTTCCTTAACTAATCTGAGTCTTTTAATACCAGATGGGGACCCTGAGAATAGACTTCCTATGAAACAGATGAAGAGCAAAGATGGAAGCCAAGGGGAAGGGCTGTGGCTGACTCATTTCTATACCCCTCTAACCCAGCACGATACCTGGCCCACAGCAACAGTGACAGTGGCAGTCCGCCCTCCGTAACTGGCCACACTGTGTGCTGGGCACCTACCAAGGGCCTTACATCACCTCCAAGCCCTCACAGCAGCACTATAAGGTAGGTACTAATGTAATCCACAGAAGGTGAAAGTAGGGTGCAGAGAAGGTACTCCTCAGGCTCCAGGTCACACAGTTAAAAAGCAGCAAAATCAAGACTTGAACCCCCATCTAGCAGCACCACCAGATCCACGCTTTTAATCTGACACTGCTGCTTCCACGGGTGGTGGGAACTTACTGAATTTCCCAGCCGGCAAGGATGGAAAGAAACAGGGGTGAGTGAGCACATGACAGTAGGGGGAGGGAACATGGCTTGTGTGTTACACAGACAAGCACGGGCATGCTTTCAAAAGGATCCCTGCAGGTCTCTGACCATTTCACCCCTTCTTCCCTGAACAGCCTTCCAGGAATACCCTAAGGAGTGCTACACGGGTGCTTATGTCAGAGGAAAGGGAAGGTCTTGCCTCCAGAGCTTTCTGAGGGCATGGACAGGCGCCGTGGGTGTGTATTACTCAGCTTGGGCTGCTATTACACAATGGCACAGACTGGGAGGCTTAAACAACAGAAATGTATCTTTTCACAGTTCTGGAGACTGAAAGTCCAAGATCAAGGTGCCAGCAGGGTGGGTGTCTGGTGAGAGCTCTCCCCTTGGGTTACAGATGGCTGCCTTCTGCTCCCTGTGTGCTCACAAGGCCTTTCCTTAGTCATGTGTGCAGGGGTTGGGGGAACTCTCTGATGTCTGTTCTTATAAGACATTATGGACACTAATCCCCTAGGATCAAGACCCCACCCTTGTGACCTCATTTAGCCTTAATTAGGTCCCATCTCCAAATACAACCACACTCAGGGTTAGAGCTTCAACATATGCACTTTGAGGAGACACAGACATTCAGCCCATAAGAGCGTGGATGAGGGAGGGATAAGACCTGGACATAGGGCATGAATCAGGTCACCTTCAAGAGTAGAAGGAGCCACAGCCAGTGAAGCCCCAGCTGGACAGGGCTGGCAAGATGGCCTCGGTGAGTACATGTTGGGGACAGCAGGACAAACTGCCCACGTGATACTCTGCTCTCTGTGGCGAGTCTCCAAGAAGCAGGAGCGGGTCTGCTGTCTTCTGTCTCTTCTCCCTCATACTTGACGTGCATTTTTCCCTAGACGCATTCTTTGTGAGACTTTCCTGGGCAATGTCTGCCGCATCATACAGTGCATGTGTGTGTCCATTTATCTATAGATAATGCCTACCACACAGGGTATCACCAGGAATAAGTGAGCTATTGTGAGTGTAAATATCTGGTACATGGTTGACATATGAATGAATAAATATTTGTTGAATAAATGAATCTTTACTTAGAGGAGTGTGCTTCTTCCTTTGAAGAGCTAGGACGATCTGGTAATCACCAGTTTTTACTTAATAATTGGTTCGTTGAGCAAAGAAAATTCATTCATTCATTCATTCATTCACTCAGCACAGATTGACTGCACCCCTGTTAGAAATGAGGGGTTAAGTAGACAGTGAGGAGCTAAATCAGTAGTGGTCCCTGCTCCCAAGGTACTCTCCACGCAGAGGGAGACACAGACAGGAAAGGCACAATGAGAACCAAGGAAATGAGTTTTCTGATGGGCACAAAGGCCCGAGTGCCGCAGGAACCCCTGAGGCAAGCACCAGTTCAGGGCCAGGAAGGTATTCCTGGAGCAAGTGATACTTGAATTAGGTGGTCCAGGATGTGAGGGGTGAAAGGGGTGAGGGACATCCTAGGCAGCAGGAACAGCACGTGCAAAAGCCCTGAAGCACAACCCTAGAGGGCACCAGTGAGGTTCTGTGTGGCTGGGGCCCTGCAGGGAGCACCAGAGAGCAAGGTGATTGGGAGATGAAGTCAGGTCACAAAAGGGCCTCATAATGCATGCTCCTCAGTTTGGAGTTTATCTTGGTGGCTTGACTTTATTCTCACGGCTCAGAGGCAGCCAGTCGGAAACTCCTCCAGGGGTACTTTACTATCTCTGATCTGTAAAATGGAGCAATTCATCTCCACTCTGCCTCTTCATACAGTCACAGGGAAGAAGAAGAAATGCAAGAGTAGCATTCTAGTCTTCTGTAAACTCTCAAGTGCTGGTTCTCGTCTGCAGGTAGTGTAGAGATGAGCAGGTGCCTGAGGGTCCAGGGGCACTAGAAGGCTGCACCACCCTCTCCCTGGCAGAGCTCTCTCCTCTGTTCCTTGAGTCCTGGCCATCCTGATGGGTCCTCTCCTGACCCGTGGCTTCAACCCCACCCCCACCCCCACCCCCACCCTTCTTTCCAGCAGGGAGCACAGGCAGGAGGCAGGGGGCCAGCCTCTACCAATCCTATTCATCAGCCAGGACTCTAGGCCTCATGGACACAGACAGATAAATCCTGGCACTTACAAGAGCTGAAGCTTTGAATCTGGTGGGACCCAGAAGAGATCTCCCCAGCTCAGGACCCCCAGCGTCCCCACCTGCCAACAAGAGGTGGTGACAGAGCCCTGCACTCCAAGTTCTAATCCCATATTCTGCTAAGTCACTTCAGGCAAATCCTTTACCCTTGGTAAACCTCAGTTTCTCGCTACAGTAATGATTAGACATGACCTGTCTAACTTCACGGGGCATGGGATGGTGTGTGTTATACACAGCACAGGGGACTGCAAATGACAGGGACAGATGTTATTAAGTACACCTTCCCTGTTGCACAGAATATGACATGTGTTTGGATCTGAGAAAGAATTAAGCGCTGAATAGGTAAAGAAAATTACTCAGGGTCCCTGGCCAAGACTCAGGCCACCTTTGTCCCTGAAGGGGCAGCTAATGGGCTGGAGTGACAGGAAATAGCTCCTGAGGCGCCCTCTATCCTTGAGGTATGACTATATGCCCGTGCAGCTTTGAGCCTGCATAAATGTGGGTAATCGTGATGCCATTTTGCATTGCTGTGTGCACGTCTCTGTGCCTCTGTGGTCGTGTGTCTGGATCTTGTGTGGGGTCCTGAGGATGCACCTGAGGGTATTATGGGCTGAGTGCGTCTGTGTGTATAACACAGTAATGTCAAAGTGGGACTTGTGGGACTGTGCCCATAGTTTTGTGTAAGTATGTGTGTTTTGGTGAGGCCATGTGTTGCGGGACACTGTGATGTGCAAGCATAGTGTGTGGTGGAAACTGAGGCGGCTCCTGCATGGAACGAGGGTGCCTCCTCCTCAGGCTTCCAGGGAGCAGACTGCATTTCAGCACCACAGAGAGCTGAGGAGAACCCACAAGAGTGAACCCACACTTTGCCCTTTTGCATGAGACACAGATAGCCGTTGGAGTTCTGCGTGGTCTGGAGGGAAAACTCACAGCAGGGAGGCTGTTTCTTAAATTCAGCCTTTACCCCCACAGCACTAACTCTCAGCCTGCCCTGTAGCTGATGGCTAAGAAATTTTTGGGGGAGGGGGACGCAGGAGGAGGTAGAAGGATGAAGGAGGGACAGAAAGAGGGGAGAAATGAAAAAGAAAAGGCAAGGCCCACAGGGGCTCCTCTGCCCCTCTCCCCCAATTTTCCATCAGTAGAGGGTGGCCCTGGCCAGGAGCAGGAGGGTCCCTTCCTCGCATGACAACCCAATTGGATGTATGTTTTTCATCTCTCCCTGGGTGGGGCAGACTTTCTCCTCATCCCGTGAATTCAGGTGGTGGGTTAAATAAGATTTCCCTTGAAGTCAAATGAAATAGCGGATCACACGCAGGAACACACACACGCGCGCGCACACACACACACACAGGCACACGTTCTCTCGGGGAGCAATCTGCGGCCGCCCCCTGAACCCCACCCATCAGCCAGGTGCCTACCTCGGTCTGTGCGCCCAGGGGTGCAGCCCCGGAGGGGCGCACGGCCCCGCAGCTGCGGGCGCGCAGGGCGGTGGGCAGCGACGCGGGCAGCGGGCACCCCTCGTGGGCCCGGCCCCCCGCCCCGCCCCTCCGGGGTTACCCGCCGGCCACTCCGCGCGCCACAGACTCGCCCGGAGCGCGGGCAGGCGGGCCGGCGGGCGCGCGGCTCCGCTTCGCGCGGTCC